GTCCTTTTGTAGGGTAATTGTGTGAACCCAGCGAGGAGCACAAGTTATTGATAGCAGGTTTTAGTAAGGTTCTTATAGTGATTAAAACGCTCTTAAGGATACACGTGAATTACATTCATTGCTTTGATAAGTTGTTATGTGGGTGGACCGAAGCTACGTTGCTGTTCTTAGTTGAGCAAACACCTACTTATTATTATACCCTCCATGCAAGCATCCGCAAATAGAGAGAAGTAATTGAGATACATCTAACCATAGTATGAAACATATGAATCTAAAACAACCCCTAATGAAAAAATTCGCAATCTAGGGTTTACGCTTCAGTCACTCCGGAACCCATCATCTACGAACTAATTCCAAAATGCCTTCCCCTTGCTCAAAGATGGTGAAGGGTCATGTAGTCGACGTTCACATGACATTACTAGAGGAAAAACAACATAATGTATGAAGGAAATATTCCCTAGAGGCAATGATAAAGTTATTATTTATATTTCCTTATATCATGATAAATGTTTATTATTCATGCTAGAATTGTATTAACCGGAAACTTAGTACATGCATGAATATATAGACAAAACAGAATGTCCCTACACTACTAGGAAAAGGCCTACTAGTGGCGCACCTGTTTTCGCTACTAATGGCGCACTACAGGTGTGCCACTAGTACCACGCCATTAGTATTTTTTACTAATGGCGCACCATGCAGTGCGCCATAGCCCACGGTGCGCCATTAGTATGCCTCACAGGGGGGCATATTTACCCATGTGCTTTGGCATACTAATGGCGCACTGGTGGATGATGCGCCATTAGTGTGCTCTGGCTTACTAATGGCGCACTATGTGGTGGTGCGCCACTAGTATGAATATTAGGCATTTTTCTTTTTTCTGATATTTTCACAGATTACAAAATATATTATTGGACAGAATTTAGACAACACCACACAGCAACAACAGATTCATCGAATACAATAAAAGATTAGTCTCCGAATACAATTCATCATATTAGTCTCTGAATTCAAAAGACCGAACAAAGATAGAACATTACAAGTCTCGAGACCGCGAGTAGCGAGTTTGTCGGAAGTAATACTAATCCTAACAAGTCCTACTAATCATCATCATACAACTTCTACTCGTTATTAATAACAAGTCATACGATCATCATCTTGATAGTCATCGAACCAACTCTACTTAATTGTTCTTAGTATATGATCATCAGCATTAGGCAGGACCTAAATACCCTATATGTTGTTAATAATTACCGAAACCAACCAGGGATAGCTGCACTTTCAAACACCAATTTGGACACACCTACATAATGAAAGCATAATGGCATGTCAACACGAAACAATAAAATTTACCACAAACGTCAGAATGAAAAATCTTTTTTACTTACCGCCAAGTACTCGTGCCTCTCCAAGGTAATGTCCTCCCTCCGCGCTTCTTCCTTGGTCATCTTCACACCAAGAGCGTCGTGACAGTATTGCGAGATGGCCACCCAGCGCACCTCGTACTGCATCTGGCGGGCCTTCTTCTTCGCTTGGCGCAACACGATCTCGTCGGCAGTGGCCTTGTGCTCCTGAAGAACTCAACACTATTTCTACAATCATTCATGAAACTAGAATGGAAGAAGCCATGAGTTAAATCATTCATGAAACCAGAATGGACTTGTGCTTCTGAAGAGAATTCACCCAAAAATTAGTGATCACGGCCTTAGCATGGGTCTCATGGTCCGCGTGGGGGCCCGCTTCTCAGTGGTCCGAGCTCGTTGCCAAAACCTAACGGTCCGAGTGCCTGACTGGATCCGGATAGTATAGCCCCAGCCAGTGTTCCTTCAACAAGACGGTGATGAGTTCGTTGGGGACGGGCCCCTTTAGGATATATCCAGTTGCTGCAAAAGATGCAAAGATTGAAAATATTAGCATGTGACAAGCAAAATAAAGAAAAATATAAGCATGTGACAAGCAAAAGAATTAAATTAATATTAAATGGCACTTAGTCTTTCCCCATGGGCTCAATGAGCCACTTATGCTCCTCGGCAGCAGGAATATGCTTTGGGAGCTCTGCATTACCACACAGCCATCCCTTGTCGCCACCCCCTCCCCGCCACCACCATCCTCCCCGTGTGCCTCCTCCTCCTCCCCCTCCCCAACCTCCTCGACCTCCTCCTCCCCTCCCCAACATTCTCGTCCTCCTCCTCATACCCTCCCCAACCTCCTCCTTCTCGCCCCCATCCTGAACCTCCTCCTCC